CTGACCCTTTCAGTTTGTAGCTACATTCTTAGGCAATTTAAAGAAACAAAGGCACAGAACCAAAATCCTGTGTTGCCTTATACATATTTACTGCCTTAAAAAACCAAACACGTGAAAGAAATTTTAGTAATTCTGACCCAGGTGAAAGCTATAATTATTATATTTAGCCATTTTAAGATGCTGAATGTGAATGATTTGAGAAATCAGAGCACCAAAGAACATATGATGAGTCTGTAAATAATACTTAAGCTTTAATATGTAGCTCTTCATGTTGAAAAATGTTTATGAGTAACTTACCAAAGACAGCATGCACCTTTTCAATATTTTTATTATTATTATTTTTTTCTTGTTGAATCAAAAATATACTTGTGTTTCTTTCAGTCGTTGACATTGGAGGGGGTATGTGCTACTAAACAAATACCAAAGTGATATATTTTTTCCACCAGCCATTCAAAGACATGAAAACACGTGAGCTTGAAAGAAATTATTGTTCACCTTGTTACATTTTAAGCAATATTTCAGAAAAAAACTGTTACAGGATGCACATACAATGGGATAAGTTAAATCCTAAAGGGGTCTTATTTTAAAATCGGTATTTTTTTTTTTCTTTTTAAAAAATACTAATACGGTTTTTAGTATATTTCCCCCATTACATGTTATTGTAGTGAAGCTTACAAGAGTCCTGTTTTAAATGTATGTACACGCTAACTTTTCAAATGTTTGGAGTGACTGTGCTATAGCTGACTGCCAACAAGCAAAGGAAGTATTCAGAAACCAATTTGTGCCCTTTTATTTGCTTCTGGCACTATTTTTGTAACCCATTAACAAACTGTATAAAAAAGATGGACATAGCCTTGGGGTCTATAAAGTAAAACCAGTGCATAAACACCTTAAACCTAGATTCTTTATAATGGCCAGCAGGGGCCAATTCTGGAAGCAGCCAAAAAAGTCAGACAGTGTACAAGTGAGGAAAAACTGCAGTTCCTTTAGTGACCACTTGTGTCTCCATTGACTCTCATGTTTAATCCACAAGCTTGGTACAAAAACAAATTTGGTCACAACTATGCAGTTTTTTCTCCGCTCATACAATAAATAATAATTATAAATGCAGAGCAGACAGTTGGTGATTTCATTGGTCGCTACCTTAGTGATGCACCCAATTGTGATGATACGATACCTGGTAAATTGTATTTGTTTTTTAAGAAAAGACTTATTATACTTTCAAACATACTTTTCATAAATAAAATGTTATCCATCTAATTTATTCAAATTCGTCTTATTTTAGCTCTGCGAGTGACCACTGCATACTGTCGTCCTTTACAGTGACACTTCTCAAAGTGCCTCGAGGCTACTACTGCTGTGATTTGGCGCTATATAAATGAAATTCAATTGAACTTCTCCTTTACCTGCTGTCGCTGTGAGCACACCTTTTATGCATGCGTGGGGTAAAGCCAATAACAGAAACATGAGATGACATAATACCACATGGAGTTGACAACATGTTACTGTATGTTACTGTAGTAATGCAATAAAAGCTTTTTAACAAGTGTTACACTGAGCATAACAAGAGTGAGGACCAGCGAGAGTGAGCAAACAAGAGAGAGAAGCTGACAGAGAAAGCATCAGAGTCTGAGCTTTTCAGCAAATAAGTTAACTTATAAGTCATAAATAAACTCCTATTTCTTTGCTTTTAGCTTCCTCCATGTTAGCTTCCTTGCTTTTGACTCATGAAACACAGAAATGAAATTAATTCAGTAAAATATAGATTTAAATTGAACAGAATGATCCATTGGTAGCAGATCCAAATATCAGATCAATCCGCCCCTATCTACATCCACCTTTTATATTCAGTCAATCAATTTCAGTAAAGATAAAGTTTATATTAACTTTTGCCAGTGTTGCTTTGTTGTTTTCTAATACTTCATGCTACAGTCACACTAGGTAAAGCAGCGGTAGGAGACCATGGCACGACCAAAATTATTGCATCCCGTTGGAATCTTACTGCCTTTAAAATGGTTACTTTAAAGACAGCGAGCACGTCTGCAGTCAGGTATTTTCAAAATGACTGTGGTGCTTCAAAAAAGCGCTAAAGCAGCACAGCCAGTCTGCTATCAGTTTGTGGCTGAATGGAGTCAAGTTGGCAGTTACATTGGGTTTGTGAAAATACAGCAATTAAATGTGATAAATGAGTGAAAATCTCAAATGCTTCAGGAATTCTCATTAAACAGAAACCGACATTAACTTATATTCAGTGGGGCCCAGCAAGCTCCTCATAGATTTGAAATTCCTCCTCAAATACTCACATAGTTGCTGCAGGAGAGCAGGCAGGTTGTACTCATCGGAGTAGACTAACTCAGATTGTTTGCCAGTCTGTCTCGCTTTATAAATTAAATGGCAATTATTTGACTTTCTGGGGATTAACGGTGACCAATGCAGTCGTCTTGCAGTCCAGTGTGCTTGTCCAGAGGTTTAGGGTGATGCTCGCTCAACCTCTGGTTGACCACTTGGTCGCCACAACTATAGTCAATCAGTCTCCAGTTGCAAAAACTGACTAAACGAATGGATTCAAACACAAAGCAATGGGCAATTTTTTTTTCCTGCTTTTACTGTAGTGTGACTGAGCTGTTAGGTTTGAGAGCTATGCAGAATGACCCAATATGCATTTTAAAGAGTCAGCTTTTCATTTTCTATTTAAATTAAATTTATACCCATAGCTGGAATGTAGCTAAAATAAAACATTTCTAAAACAATGCCAGTTTTGAAGAATTGTATTCATACGGTTAGCAAAAACATGCAAAAAAAGGACAGGTAATTCTCATTTAACTTTGACTTTGCTGTACGTCCCAACAGAACTGATAAACATATACCTGACAGAAAAATGTTTCTTCATGTTGTGCAAATGCTACGTTTACTGTGTTGAATACTGATGTGTGTGTTTTCACCAGGCACCTGGATGCTTGGCTCTGACTTGAATGCAGTTGGAGACATGAGAGAAACAGAGACTGGGGGCTAATCGTTTGTTTAGAATAAAAAGTTGCACCACCCACTAATCTCTTTGGCAGCAGAAAGAGTGAAAGTATAATTGTACATTAATTACCATGTTTGTTGTATTTGTCACTTTAAATTTTAATCAGCTGGTGTAATGTTTCTGCTTTTAACTACTCAGCCATATAAAAGAAATCAATGCTGACAACAGACGTGAGAGGGATTCTTTAGTCTTTGTATTATTTAATGTCATTAATATAATATTGCTTTGAAATTTGAAACAGTATCACATTTTCATTGACAAACCATACTCTGTCCAGAAACATGGGCAAAGCATTGTATGCTGGTACAGTTTTTTTTTCTTTTCCTCTACATTTTGTTACCCTTTAATAATAATTCCCACATTTTCAATAGACCTGAATCAATAGAAATGCTCATTAATGGTCTATATCATTAATGGTCTACAGTGCTCTAAACATTACAGTACCTACATAACAAGATCAGAAAGTCACACGGAGGCCAGGAAATAGACTTGACCTTTCTGAGTGACCTTTCTCAAGACAGGAGTGATACACAGGTCCTGTTTAGCCAGTGATGTGGGACTACCGGTTTACCTTTTAGTCTGTGTTGGGATTCATCTCAGGGGCAGTGGAGGAGCAGGGGATATACGGAGTGAGATCTAAATGTCAGAGTAAGCGCTGGTTTGGCCCTGCACATTGCATAAGGCTTACCTCTCAGTTTCTCTCTAGCTCTTTCACACTGCTCTGCCCGCTATAACTCAACACACACAAACACACTCGCATCGGCTGCTCCCCTTCAACTCACAGCTTGGTATCCGGAAACTTGAACGCTGGGGCGAGCTACACAAGGAAAACACCAATGTTAAAAAGAGCGGTTACATGCACAGCGATATCATGCCACCAAAACTTGCTTTAAATAGCTTGCTGCTCATTTAAGTGTAATGCTTTCATATTGTGCATCCATAATAGAGCAGGTTGTTTCGGTGACACACAGAATGGGAGAACATACGTGACAAAATGTTGGACGACGATGGCAAAACGAAATGAGGGTGAAGCGCTGAGTTGGCGTGTGACGGGGAGAGGGAACGTAAAAAGCGAATGGCAGGTGAGTGAGAGGAGACGAGACACTGCTACGGTACATACAGAGAGACTGCTCAGGCCAAGTGCATCAAAGGGTACGAAAACACAAACACACTGCCAACATGCAATCGTCAGTGGAAGCTAACAGTTAACAGTCAGAAACAGAGTGGCAATGACACAGCCACGGTACCGCACGCAGGCCGGTTACACCGTAATAAAAAAAATAAAATCAGTCAGCCTCAACGAGCTCAATCCTTCACTTCTCCCGCAGCACACAAAAAACAAGGACAGTGGCCGGTGATGTAAGAGTCCAAACTCCCATGAGGACAGACAGAAACAAGGCATACAGCACGCACAGCAGGTAGTGCACACAGGGGAGAACCCACAGATATGTGTCGACTTCACGACGACCTTTTTTTTTTCAGTCACAGTGCAGGAGGAAAATCTTTTAAGAAAAAAAAAAAATGGTACCACGCTCTCAGCATTACAAATCCACTCGCAGTAACACGACACCAGAGCTACATTTAGATTTGGCTCTTTTAATGTAGTGGAATAAAATCTTTTCACCCCCTCAAAGTAACACACGTTGCATGTACTGTACCTAATTCTAAAGTGGAGTGAAACAGCATGGATACCTACTCAAGTAATCATGATAATAAGATGCTATGACGGGAAATGTGCATCAGATTGTGCTAGAGGCTCATTAATACACCCAATATTTTTTTTTTAACGTTGCTTACGTTTTGTTTATTTTTATTTTTTTGCCTCTGGTAGTAATGTTGGGATTCTTTACAATCCCTTCGTAATCATTCCCCCCAACCCACATTTCAGTTATGCCCCGTCTATCAAAAAGTATCACAAAAATCCACTAATGTCAAATTTGCACCATAAGAAAAAAAGAAAACAAGGTCTTAAAAGGGATAGTGCCATGTTTTTAAACACAGTGTTTCTTTTCATTTTTTTTTCTTTGTTTAAACTGACAATAAGAAGAAGCTGTGATTTTCAGGCTCTCAGTGCTACCACGACTGCTGAGAGGCACTGGGCAGTACAAGGCCAGAGCAAAGACTCATCCTGACAAAAACTGTACCATCTCTGCATCAACGTCATCCCAGCTAGTCACAGTCAGTTTAAATACAGCAGAAAATAAGAAGTGTTGCCTTTTTTTTCTTTTCTTTTTTTGCCTTTAAAGTCTTTTAGAAGCAGGGTGGAGGCGTGCAGTTGTTGGGTGGTGGTGTTCGGGCAGGTCAGGGGATTTTTAGTTGATTATAGATAACCGTAATGAAGTAAGGCTGTTGTCCTTGATATTGTCCTTCTGGGTGTGTATGTGTGTATTTGTGTGAGTTTACGAGGTCTCAGTTTTTGGTCCGTTTTGAGTCCAGACATCAGTGATTAGATTCGTGACCGATTCCTTGTGGTCTTTCTATGAGTATTGTACAAATGCGTAGAAAAAACCCCAACAACAACAAAAAGAAAACACAAGTTGTTTGCTGCATGTTGCTGTTTTGTCTTTCATTGATTAATTGTCCATCTTGCATCCCATGCTATCAAAGCAGCCTCCTCATAGTGCTTCACAGTGGTAGATGCCTGGTAAGACAGGACAGGCTACAGATGGAGAAAGAAAAAAAATTATAACTGTCGAGAGGCAAAACAACCAAACAATTGTGTAAATGAAAAAGATATGTTAATAATAATAAAAAAAACCAAAACCTAAATATAAGCTACAGACTTGAAATCTATCTGTGTGATACCAAAAAGACACAATAAAGAAAAAGTTAACATTTTGGAGAATATGCTTGCTGGGAATTATGCAAGGGGACACAACTGTACATTTAATATGGAGCTGACTGGATTTACAGGTAGCAGAGCACCTGCTTAATTAAGCTCAGCTGCCACAAGAACAGATACTGAACTGAAAATGTAACTTTATTTTCAGTAGTTTTTGCTTTTATTTTATTTTTATTGTATTAATTTATTTAAGCCATTCTTTTTTTGGTTGTGTTTTTTGTTTTGGTTGCTATAACACAGACATTTACCAACTTTTGGGATAAACTAAGTAGAAATGCTTTAATCTGTTTGGCATACAATCTTATAACTAGCTAACCTGCCTTTAGGAAATGAAACACAATCAGCACCACTAAAGCTCCCTAAAGATGTGGCTTGTTTAACCCAGCGGTTCTTAAACTGTGGATGGCATACCCTGATGGGACTTTCAGAGCCATTGCAGGTCAGGTGTGAGTGACTAGAGAAGGAATGGGGAGGGAAAGTAAATTGAACAACTGTATAGGGAAAATAAACAAGTTTATCTCCTGATGCTGCTGTAGTGACTTTTATTTTGTCAACATTTAACTTGGTTAAAGACTGGTGAGGGCTTATTGAAATTTGGGATGCGGACTGAGGTTGTTATAGTTAACTTAAACTGAATGGAAAAACAAAAGCTAGGTTGGAAAAAAACCACATCTCAGTTAGGCCTCAGTCACACAGGCCTAGAGACTGGTCCCCCTGGCAACCACAGGTCGTTAGTGGAAAATATTTAATCCCAGACTAGTTGCGGAGATTTCTGGCTGCTGCTGGGTGAACTTGGTAGCTAAAATGGAGCTGCATCAAAAACTTGCTTGTGATTGCATTGGTTGTCAAGACTGCAAGTTCACCTGTACTTTACATCAAGGAGGGTGACTTGTCTATAAACACTTGCCACAGCTACTTCCCGAGTGGTAGTGAAACCTTAGAAAGTGCACTTCAGACTAAAACTGGAGACTGTTCACCTTCAAAAGTAAAAATTGCTCTTTTCATGCAAGCAACACATTTCAACAGCAACTTTTACTTTGAAAGTAAATGGTCACTCTGTGCATAATTAGCAAGTGTTTGCAGATGAGTTGGCATCTTCCATGTGAACAACGGGCACCAGTGGCAATCTGCTGGAAACCAAAACAATCGCAAGGAAAGTTGCACGATGGGCTTTAGCAACCAATTTCACAGTGACCCTAATAACCTCAGCAACCATTACACTTTTTTTCCCCTAGTAACTGGAAGTTGCCAGGGTGGGAGAGGAGGGGTCGCCTGTGTCTAGGCTGGTGTGAAAACTAAAACGTGCAGTATACTTATAATCTAACCTGTCTAATAATATTAGAACGTTTCTTTAGCTATTTGTTAAATAGCTGAAATTTGTCAGTAATCAGTGGGAGAATGCTTTGGTGAATGTGCTTATTGAGACTGGTATATGTAGCCTGTGTGATTTCTGTTTCAGCTTTATATTAACTATACACCTGTGAGACTGTTGTCAATATCCTCACGTAATTCTCTGCTAGACATATTTCCCAAAACGTCTAACAGAAAACCATTTTTAAAATAATATAAACTCAAGACTTCTGGAAATACTTCAACTTGCCTTTAGCCAGTGTGAAGTCTAGACAGAGCAAGAGAAAAAATGAGCATGCCTGTTTTGCCTGTGGAGAATCAATTTAAAAAAAAAATGGCTTGAAAGAGGAAGAATAATAAAGATGCAACCTCTGGGAGCTATCGGGGATTTGGAGGCAGATGCAAGTTGTCAGGAAGAGGAGGATGAGGAGGAAGAGGCAGTTTGGTTGAGAGAGCGGGGCCACTGTAAAATGAGATCAGTCCAGGATCATCCGTTCCAGAGCTCCGCCATTGGCTGTAGCAGCAACAGGCGACGGAGGCTGCCAGGGGGTGTTGGGGAGGCATGGGGGAGCCGCAGGAGTGTTTGTCATGGCAGGTAGGAGGTTGGTTTGGGTCGCTGGGCAGGGCAAAGGAGGGTGCAGGAGTAGGCAGCCCTGAGGGATGCTATACCATCACAGTGAGAAGGCACGGGGCTCACATGTATATATGTGTGAGTGTGAGAGATAAATAGAGAACCGGATGCAGGGGCAGAGGAAAATACAGGGGGGTGCAGAGGGGCGGCTGTGGGAGTCCGGCCTCAGAATATGGTGGTCTCGTACTTGGTGCTGACAGGGCGCCTGTTGGCGTCCCGCTGGTCCAAGAGCCAGGTGGTGCTGCCCAGGGACTGCATGTCTGGGTCCATCTCCAGGGGGTCGATCTGCCGAGGGAGGGAGGGAGGAGGGACGAGAGGAGGGCGTGAGACGTGTGGCAGTGGAGGCCATTGCGCCACACTGACAAGTCCTCAGCTCACACACGTGCATGTGGATTAGAGGTACAGTCCAGTGATCATGTTATAATCACAGACACTCAGGGCTCAATCCACAACATGGATGATGTCTGACAGAAAAGACCCTCAGCCTGTATAAGCAGCGGCAGTAAAACCAACAATACGACCCTCTGGGAGTTAAAACATACGCTGATTAGTAGTTCAAAAGCACCATGCTCTACACCATTGGCTACTGTCATAGCACAAACGGCAAAGACACATAATTCTACATGCATTACGCTGAGTAATTTACTTAGAAATACATTTGACTTTTAATTAGCTTGAAAAAGAATCTCAATGTAGGCGTTTGGCAATCTGAAATTTCCTGCTTACGAAAGACACCTTCAGTTGAAAATATCTTAAAAAGACACAAGAATTGAGAAACAGTTTAAAACCATTGAGCAGAAACAACTTCAGCCATCATGTTATTGACGCAATGGGCTAAACCCACACTGGCATAATTTAGCCAACAGTCTTCATATAAAGACGGTAAATCACATCAATGAGTCGCTCGTCCCCGAATGGGTTTAACCACAGAGCTAATTGCATTTTAACACTAAAATGTAAGATGAAGATGAGAGATGGGAAAATAAAAGGATGAGGTTCATGGTTGAAATACTAATAACCACACAACGTGGAGGCGAGGTGCACTGAAGCACTCAGATGCAAGAAAAATAAAGAGGAGAGGGAATTGTGTGTCAGAAGATGCATGATTAAGGATTGAATAGAGGAAAGGAAAGAGAAGGACCTGGACTCCAGGGCTAACAGAGTGCAACGGGAGGAAGGAAGGACGGTGGGTAGTACACGTGTGACAGTGACAGCAGCGGCATTCGAGCAGAGGGGCACCCTGGGAAGCAGGAGGACCAAGAAGACAAGAATAAAGACATGTTAAAAAAAGAAGAGCGCAGAGGGACAGAGAATTTATATGCACTAAACAGACAGTGTAGAAATCCAGAAGCAGCAGAACGAGCAGTTCATTATCTGTCCTTAAAGCTCAAGAGGGCAAATTTCTCAGCATCTTTGAGTTTTCTTGTCATTGACTGTTTACTTAACTCTGTCTATGAATAGTGACGGTCCAATTATAGTTTAGTAGCTCCAGCTAGGCATGGCAGTATTTATTTATACTTGTGTCATTTTTGGCCCTCCATATGGCATGTCTGTGGAGCGTTGGATTTCTCCACTTGCTCAAGTGGCGTGCATGTGGCTATATGCAGCAAAGTGTGAGGAATTCATTTACGAGTGTTTATACTGTTTAAATAAATCAGCAGCATGCCCAGATGACTAGTTTAGTACCTACAAACCTACAATAACTGTGCATGCGTCTGATTTGAGATATTAACAGTCCAGGGTAACAGTATTTCTATAAATTGTTCAAATTCACATATCAATATTTGTCAGTGATCCCAGTGAAGCAATTATATACTGGAAACAGCTATGAAGGTTGCATCAGTGTTGTTTCTATATTCCAATTTAAAAAGCAGACAAACACACCAAAGATTACAAACTTATTCCCAAAGCCAAGAAACTCGAGCACATACATCATTATTAAGAAATCCACTTTGCGCTGTTCCTTTACTGAGTGCATCGTGGGGTCTGTCAAAGGTTAACATTACTGGCTAGGCCCTTTTCTTTATTGAATATGGGCACATTTACACTCCAGCTAAAGTTACTCAAGTAAGCAACATTTGATCATCACGCTCATTAACAGTGGAAGCTTTGTAAAGCATTTTTAGAAATATTTTATCCACAGCACAGATAAACCAATAGGGTTAGCTAATATGTCATGTCATTGAGTACTATTTAACCCAATAACAGTAATGTATACATGCCATCTAATGACATATGTTTTAGTCACTGCATTATTTCTGATAACTATGTATTTTAATGATAATAGTAGGGTGGGGCTTTTCCTGGCGTAAGAAATACACCGACCAATCGCAACTGGATTTCTTTAAGGGAAACAGCCATTAACGAATATGCCCAATGGGCATACACTGGATTTTTTTTTTTCATTTTGAGATGCATACTTAAGATTCCTTTACAATATTTTTGTTTTAAAACAAGAGGGAAAAAAACCTGACAGTAACAGTTGATAAATATTTTTTTGTTTTAGGAAATATTGTCTTTATGCAAACTACAGAGGACAGGGCTTAGCAAACAGTCAATCTCTTCTTAGGTAAAATACATGAGAAACCTTCATGATTGTCACAGTTTTTGTTTCACTTCACTTGGTAGCAGCGAAGTGTATTAAAACAAATCGCAGCTGACAGAAATCAGCCCCCCCACCCCCACCCCACTCTTCTCATCTAAAACTTAAACAACCAGCAGGCTCATTATGCAGCTCTGTGATCACTCCATATATTATCCTTGCAGGCAGGTAGTAAAACAATGTGATTTGTGTCTCTGAATAAGCAAGTGGTCCAGCAGTGTGTGCGTGTGCGTGCTCCTAGCGGCGGCTGTGCAGCGCTCTCAGGTGACAGTGATCACTGAGTGCTTATTATATGCAGCCTGAGAGGTCAATACATCAATGCTCAGGGTATACCTGAACATTTATGCAGCACACTCAATCAGAAGTGAGGAAGCAGCGGGTGGTTCTGACCAACGAGGCTGTGCACAGGCTTAGAAAAATCCCAGAGGAAATCACACACCTCCTCCCACCCCCCTGTTAGCAACAAATAAAAGGAATCATTCATCACGCTTCACATATGCACAAAAAGAAAGTCTCCTCTGATTGGAGTGACTCACAGAGCAAAGTAATGACTCATCACTTTCTACCACACGCACAGCAAATCCTCCTTTGTAGGTGGCCCATTAGGGGTTCAGCAGTGGAGAAAAAGTGGGTCACAGGGTCTGTCTACTTATTTTGAAGTATGACTGCACAATATGTTCCTTCACACCTGCTTTCCTTTTAACGTGTAGAGTAACCTCACCACTCAAATGCACTCAGAGATGCACACATTCGCCACGATTTTCTTCAGGTTTTATAGGCTGGTACTCACTGCTGATCTTCGCATGCTGCTCCAGGACTGAGATACAGGACGGCTGGTTTTGGTGTCTATGACCTCAGAGCCCAGAGATGAAGGAGGCATGTAGTGTCTCGCCCTGGACTGAATCGCCATCTGATAAGCCACCTCAAATGCCTGTCCCAGCGTTAGGATGATCTCGTAGGTCTGTGTCTGTGTGAGTGGAAAATAAAGATTCATTGTACTGAAATATGTGACAACAACTTTTTAGCAGCTGACTTTAAATGACCGCACATAACAAAGACAACATCTTTATGCACACTTGCTTGTGTGCTCAGTAAACATTTAATTTCCATAAAAAAACACAACTAAGCACCTTGTATTAGTTACGCTGCAAAGCTTGGACTAAAAAAAGTCTTCTGAACGTGTTACAGTATTTGGTTTGAGTTAACCACTATTCAATTTGGTTTGCAAACACTTGTTTTCAGCAAATTCACAGCACACAAAAGCGCTGCTCTTCACATTTTTAGGATAATTACTTTGTATAATTATCCACAGGCTCTTGTTTAAATATGATGCATTTACAGAGAAAAGCTAAAGCAGTTTTTAAACTGACATTCTGTGCATGGAGGAGCTGTGTGAAGTATAAATAATAGAGGCTCAGCAGTGGTTTTTTTTGGTCCTGTAAAGATCTTTTTCAATGCAGTTCATTAAAAAAACAAACAAACAAAAAATGTTTCCCTGCAGTTAAAGTGCCCCCACAGTGGTCGAGCTGCCAAAAATGAAACCTCACTGCTGACCTTTTAACAGACCTTTCGACTCAAATGACAACATAATTTGTGCTTGTGCATGGAAATGCCATGCATAGCAGGAGTGGGTCTTTAATCAAGCTATTTGATGAGCCAATCAAGAAAATAATCCATAGGATACTCAAGGCAGGTTTAACTGCAGGATATCTGACGTCCTACAAGGGGACATTTTGGTTTTCTTTCTTTATTTACCAAAAAATGTGCAAAATGTTCCACAATGATATGAAAATATGGGGCTGTCTATAGTGGATTATTTTTAATATATTAGCATAATTACAGTGTATTATGCTTATAGTTCTAATTCTATTAAATCAATCACAGGGCTGATGTTACTCACCACTTCCACAGTGCTGAAGACATGACAGAAGTGGTGGCCGCTCTTCAGATCCTTGGTAATGTATGCAAATGTGCAGAGGTCATCTGGGTCTTGCGCGGCACATGAGATGTTCCTGATCTCATGTTCTGCTACTATAGTCTAATGAAGACAGGAATGAAGTGAGCGCTAAATGAGAATCAACCACTAATGGACAGTGAGAAAGTCGACAGCAGTGTTTGCATTGGACAGGTCAATAATCAATAATTCCCATTACCTTTGTGGCTGCATCGATGAACTTAACACCTCTATAGGTAATGGACAGTATGACAACTGGACCCTTTTTGGAGTCCTTGGATTTCTGGAATAGATACAAAAAGAATAAGTGAGAAGAAAGAAAAAAATCACTGCCTATTTTGGGGAGTTTATTAATTGTTATGACGGATAAAAACACTTTTCAGTTATTCTTGAAAAAGATGGAAAAATTAAGGTTTTGTAGTACTAAACCCAGATAATAAAGCCATAAATCTTTGTCCATTCTCCTACAATTTAGGCTTTGTCCTGTTTTATACTTCTTTTTTCTGTCTTCTTTTCCCTCATGTTTTCACCAGTCGCAGCAGACGACTGCCTCCCAACCCCCGAACCTCGGCTCTTTTGGGCCAATATGGCTGATCATCTCCTTTATAATGACCTGAACACAGATCATGAACCAACAGTATTGCTGCTCACATGAAAACAAGCAACCAAGCTAAAGATTTAGTTTCAGCTGTTTACTGGCAGATACATCTAGTTCTTATTTTATTGTATTTTAGTGGACTTAAAAATGTATTTATTATTGGATTGATGGCATGAACTAGCGTAGTGTTTGCCCACAATGTAAATTAAAGTAGTAAAAAATCCAAAACAACCGGCAAGAACCTGTAAGAAAACAAAAGGCTTTTTAAAACTTATTTTGGGAAAATACCACCAATTTTTTTTCAAATTAAAAAAAAAAAAAGTATGTTTAACTGGTTATTCTATACATAAAGTTATAGCTCTCTCCCCAACCACGCGTCAGCGTTGGGTGTTACCACCATGGCTTTTACATTTGCTCTTAGAAGGACATTGATAAATACTTACCCTAATTTTAGCACAGGCATCTTGTGTGGACTCAATCCCTCGTAGATCCCTGATTATCAATGATCCTAGATACTAGAGGAAAGAGTCAAAACAGAATTTAAAAAATTATTTAAAAGTTGGTGCTGGCAAACGAAGTCAACTACAGACACAGACGGGCCATCGCAAGCACAGGATGTATTTGAATTAAAATGTCCTACACTATTTCTTGTTTAATAGTGTTTAATAGTCCATCTATAACATATTTACAGCATATTCTGGCATCTATGCTGAAGACAGTAAAAGTGACTTACTGTTGCCTCGTACCCGCAGGAGTCCAGAATGAGTTTCTCAGGCTGGTGATGCCAGGCGGAGACCGTGGCATAGGTAGCAGAGTGGCTCGGCGGCCGGAGGTTTAGACGAGACTCTTTATGCCGGTCGCTGTGTCTGTCCTGCACAGATGCAAATGAACAGGCTGCTAAATGCAATAAAGAGAACAGACTGATCCAAGAACAAAATATTCTCTGCCTTGTGTTCAGTTTTTGTAGATATTAAAGGGGATAAAATGCTATTTTTTTTCACTGTTTTGCAGGATCTTTGTAATCACACTCATTTCAAATACTAATTTGTGCATCCATCAAGTTGGCAAGGTAAAGGGTTTCTGACCGCTGAACATTAGTGTGAAGGCAGATGTCTGGTCAGCAGTTTAATGCAAGTCTTTTATGCTAGGAAACTAATAAATATTATGCATGCTGGGCCTTAAGGTCAGTGTAGGCTGTGCTCAGTGCTTTCATGAATCACTGTCAGAGTAAAATATACTTATGATGATGATTACACACTAAGAGTTTATGGAAATTGTAAGTATTGATTTTTATACAGCAGTGGTACCATATTCCCTTTCCTTATTTGTGGATGCTCCTGTGTGCTTCCAGATTGGCCTCAGTGAGTCAGAAAGCAGCTATGCCAGCTTGACTGTTTGTGTTGTAGTTTGACCTTTAACAAATGCTAAGATTTGATCA